GGGAATTCTTGTGGCCTTCCCCCCATTGGCTGGGGCAGGTGTTTCCTGCAGCCCCCCTGGCTTCTGGGGGCCCTGGGCACAGCGAGTGTCGCATCCGGTGGAGGGGAGCAGCGTTTGCTCCCTTCGGAGCCTGCTTGGCCAGGCGGCGGGCCGGTCTCGGCTAACCCCAGGCCCTTTCCAGTTGCAGGGCCAGGTCTCTCTGCGGGATTCTGCTGAGCCGGGTGCCGTGGGCGATTAGCAGCCTGGATCGGACCCCCTGCACCCAGCACCGCCGGACATTCATCAACCTCACGGGGCCTTTCACCAACAAAAGGAAGGAGTATTCGGAGAGGCGGATAATAGGGTAAGTGGTAGAAGTTACAGCTTGGTTAATTGAACAGTCGGGTCACCTCGAGAATTCTTATCGGTTACTCGGCTATTCTATAGTCCCTGGGGGCAGGGCCGGCAGCCAGGGTGCTCTGGCCCCATTCCCGAGAGCCCCCTGCTCCTCCCCAGAGGCAGCAGTGCAGGGTGCCAGGCGGGAGCTGGTCCATGAGGGGAGCCAGTTTAAAAACCATAGATTGGCTGCCTGTGGCCCCGCACTGCTGCCTCTGCTACAGGGAGGCAGCAGCCCTTTCCGGGCGTGTTGGAGTCGAGCTGGGTTTGAACCAGCCCTGCAGAGGCGAACGGTTCCCCAGCCCGGCCCTGCGCCGCCATGTACCAGGACTGAGTCAGGGCGGGCGTCTCCCCCAACAGGTACTCCATGCAGGAAATGTACGAGGTGGTGTCCAACGTGGATGAGTACAAGCACTTTGTCCCTTGGTGCAAGAAGTCGGTGGTGGTCTCCAAGCGCACGGGCCACGTGAAGGCTCAGCTGGAGGTGGGCTTCCCGCCCATCCTGGAGAGATACACCTCCATCGTCACCCTGGTGCGCCCACACCTCGTCAAGGTGAGGCAGCTGGGGCCACATGGGGATTCCCAGGGTGGGGGCAGGGCCGGGGGCCCGGTCCCCAGGGAGCCTGGATCCAAGCGTCCGACTGACCACGCCTGCTGTCCCTTCTCAGGCCATCTGCACTGACGGGAGACTCTTCAACCACCTGGAGACCAGCTGGCGCTTCAGCCCCGGCATCCCAGGCTACCCCCGCACCTGCACGGTGGATTTCTCAGTAAGCTCCTCCCATCCTGCCCTCTCCAAGGGCTCCTCCCCCTTCCCCATAGTGGATCCAGCGAGGCCGGCCGGCTGGCCGGCCCACGCTGTGCAGCGGGAGAAGGGACAGGCTAGGGAGCACCCGTCAGCCGCCAGGGCTCCCAGCCATCCGGAGGGAAGCAGGGTGCGAAACGCTGCCCGCAGCCACCGTGCGTTCCCTGACTCTCGCGGGAGAGAAAACCGGAGCAAACGGTCCGTTGGGCGCTTTTGTACGAGACACCTCGTCGGGGGGTTAGAGCAGGGGTCTCTGGGAGCCAGGACTCCTGGGTTCGCTTCCTGGCTCTGTCACCAGCTTGCTGTGGGAGTCTCGCTCTTGGCCTCAGTTTCCCCAGCGGGGCTGTGCTGACCCCGGAGGGTTTGCATGCAGGCGACACAGTATATGAGCAGCCCAACAACCCATCTGCCTGCCGCCCCTTGTTTCAGAGAGGGCCCTGACCCAGCCCTGCCAGCTTCCATCCCTCTCTTCTCCCCAGATCTCCTTTGAGTTCCGCTCCTTGCTGCACTCGCAGCTCGCCACGGTCTTCTTCGACGAGGTGGTCAAGCAGATGGTGGCGGCTTTCGAGCGGCGGGCAGCCAAGGTCTTCGGCCCGGAGACACGCATCCCCCGGGAGCTCATGTTCCACGAAGTTCACCAAACGTGAGGGGAGCTGGGGCTGCCCGTGCAGACTCTGCGGGGGTGGCGCTCGGGCGCCCCGCCCCCTTTTAACTATTTATTTGATTTCACCTCTCCTGATGCGCACTCTGATTTATCTGCTGGCCCTGGTGTGCCGAGAAGCGGGGTGGAGCCGGGGCGGCTGGGTCTGGCTGCCGCAGGCCCGGCAGAGCGTCGCCCTGGCCTTGCGCCTCGCACAGAACTGCACTGCTGGGCTCAATGGTTTTGTAGCTAATTTTATTTTAAACTTATTTTATTTGGGGGGGAGGGGGAGGGCTGGTTAAAATCCCTCCAGCCAGGGAAGCACCAGCCCGGCCCCTTGCTGATCTGCATTTTTCTTCTCGTCCCTTCCCCCTGCGCTGCTGTCATGGCAGACTCCAGCAAGGCTGTGCTGAGCCAACCCAGGCGTGCTCAGCCAGCCTGGTCCTCGGGCACGCAGGAGAGGGGCGGGGCCGAGGGGGTACGTGCATTGCCCCTTGGCTGTGGCCACCTGTGGACCGGTCTGTGGCCAGCAGCTGTGCCTTTTTGGGGTGGGGTGTGAAACCGCCGAGGCCCTTCTCCCAACCCGGGGGGG